CGCTCCGGTTATAAATTACTTAGGCAACGCAGTCGTAACAGAAAGTTAAGCGTTAATGATCTTTGTTGCGCGTTGCAGATAATAATATGTAACATGAGTACCAAAATGTCTGTTTCATGAATTACGACGAATGTATAAAGGCATTTTGACAAATTTTGCGCCGGCTATACGCGGAGTAATTAGAAACATTCTAATCATTGATTTCGAGATAGTTTTTCAGATCACTACGTGATACCAAATTTAATAGCTATTCTCGCGAATATTTGTTAACATTGTCTATTATCTACTAATAAAAAAAAAACGTTATTTTATATTATTTTCGCCTAAAAAAATAATTTTTAGAAAAATGATAGAAGTGTCATGTAATATGTTTAATATAATACATATGTATTTTGAAAGTGACCGAGTGAAAATTTTCTGTTTAATCTTTGGTTGAGAATTTAACATTAAAATTATATGGATATTACACGAATTTATCTACAGCAATGAATATCGTTGATAAATTGGATTAATTTCACGATTCGAAAACAACCATTTGCATTTGGCAGTAATCACAAAAAACGGAAGCACACTGCGCGAAAAGTGGAGCAAGCTGCACGTCCGACGCCTCCGTGACATTAATTATCCACTTTAATTCGTATGTCGAAATCACATGCAAATTTTATGCGAGCAGATTCAACTACGGGTTCTCGTCCGGCACGTCTTCGCGGAGTCAGTTGACTTCCTTCAGCATTTAAGGATACATATCAGATATTTCTAAGCATTATCAAAAATATAAAAATTTCATAGATTGTTCTATCATTACGTCTAAGTGTCTGTGTAAAATTTAAACACAATTTTTTTTCTTAGTTTAAAAATTATTTAATTTTTAATTTTTTGTTTGCCTTAATTCTTAAAAAGTTAAGATCTTAAAATCGCGTTGTGCACAACTTAATTGCAAATTTAAAGAAGCATTTAGATAATAGAGAAAGTATTATAAATTAAATTTTTTATCCATATATATACTAATAAGTTTATTTAGAATAGAATATAATATAGGAAATATGTTACTATCTTATCGTATAGGATAGAATAGGAAATGCTTTATTATAAATAGAAGCGGCGATGTGTGCATATATATATATATATAGATAGATAGGGTTAAAATGGAATCACATGATGCTCGATTTCTTGAATGATAACATGCATATAGTCATGCTTGCTCTGATGTATGCTAGAATTCGTTCATGGATTGAGCGCTGCATGCTGCATATACATGATTTTTATATTTATTATGGATTACTTCATAGCTTATTTCCTTGTATGCACCAATCAAAAGAAACAATTACTTTCATATTTATTGTCAAACGTCAGACTGTATGCATCAGAGCAAGCATACACGGAGAAAATTATCTTTTAAAATTTACCCTGAAAATGTAGCAGAGTGGTACAATACAATATTTTAAAGATTTTTTCCCACGCACTTTAGTAAAATTAATCAAACTTATTTTATACTTTATTGTAGTTTTATTAATGAATGAGAGAGATTAAAATTCCTCGAAATACAATGTTATACAAGGTAAACTCTAAGAAAAAATTCTCTCCGTGTAGTAGCATGGATGTGCATGCATGCATGCTCATCATTCAAGAAATCGAGCATCGTGTGATTCCATCTTTAGAATAGATTACGAGTATAGTTCTATTTTTTGTTTTATTTTTTGTATTTTGTCTATCTATTTGTAATGCAAAAATGTGTCTGGAATGCCATTATGTTGTGGCTGCATTTGTAACTTTGAGAGGAAACAGTAGAATAAACCATCCCATACCATAATACTAATAAGTTTTTATCTACTTACACGTTTAAAAGTTATTTACCTAAAATTGGAGCAAAATATGCTCATTACGCTGAATATTCCAAATTATTTTGTTTTTTTTCGCAGTTGGTTTCAAGACGTATTCACGACTTGAATCAAATTTTTTTGTTGCTTTGACTCATATTGACTTCTTTGGCTAATTCTTTCAACTAGTTGTACTAGTTAAAACATTCTTAAATGCACAGCAGTACTTACGTTATAATGGCGTACGTCGCTATTACCTCACGAATTCGGAATTTCTCATTTACGTATTTGTTTGTACAAGGTGTACTTCTTATTGCACGATTACACACGGTATAAAGTATTAGTGAAATAAAAGATTAACACGAAGAAAATATTTTGCTTTCATCATATAATCGAATTAGAAATGATAAATTACAAATTAATATAAAAACTAATAAGTTTTTACAAACTCCTTTAATTAAAATAATTAATAAAACCATAAAAAATATGTATTACAGGCAATAGGAGTCAATGCTGGTTATCAGTTAGCGTAATTTTTCTTAATACTAAATATATAAACCTTAATTTTGAACGTTTCCACTCATGGTTTGAGTCTTCATCAGCAATCTTTCACCCTAGCCTAACGATTGGAGTATTGCATGACAAAATGATATCTCTAACGTTTTTCCTCTCAAATATTGAACCGTTTACTGTTTTGTGAGGAAAGTCACATACTCACAAAGTTAGAAAGCTGAGTGACAATGAGAATTCAAGCTAAAATTATATGAAAGATTAAATTATCGTATGTATAATTTGAAAATTGATATTCACTTCACCTCACACAGTCGACGCTTCTACACTGAATGAGTGGATGTTCGAATTAGAAATACGAATTAGAAATACGTGTAACAAGCTCTTTAAAAAAGCATACAAAGCAATAGTAAAGTAAGAATAGCCAAGAACACGCAACTTATCAATTAGATTTCACTGAGGTAGAGCAGAGGTTCGGAGTGACTAGACGGATGAACTGGGACACGTGGAAAAGGGGCAAATATTAAAACAAAAACTTGGTTTGATAAATTTATTGATAATTTTTATGAATTCGACAAAAACATCAAATTTTGGATATTTATTATGTCCTTTTAATAATTATTTATTTGTAAAAAGACTGCAATAACAACCACCTTCGTTTCTCTCCACGCTCGTCGCTTTATTTAGCACCTGTATTTTAAATTAATCGAAACCCGGCTTGCCACTTGCCCCAGTCTACTCCGCTTAAATGATTTAGTGGAGTTGTCATATCCGGGCAGAAGCGTGCGGATACTTTTGCAACACCATCGACTCGTCTCGAATAAATGCAGAAAGTGAGGAAAAAAGCGATGTACAGATGAGGAGAGCGATGGAAAGAAAAAGGGGAAATAGAATGAAAAGAAGACAGAAAGAGGACAGAGAGTCACTTACGGAAACTTGTGACAAAAATTCGGTCACTCGCACTACACTGGATCAATACATTAAAGGATGCTTCATATAAAGTATCTAAATGCAATATAATTAACTTTACAATGAAATAATATATATATGCTCTATTAAGTGATAACAAAGTCATTTTTGAGCATTTAATCGTTTAAAATATTCATACATTTTTAACTTTGCCAATTTCATGAATAGCAGCTTTTAGTATGCACTAATCTAGTGTAACGCAAGGTTAACAAGATAATGTTTTTTCAAAGAACAAAACATTATGTTTTTTCCAAACATGTTTTTAATGCTTCGTACACGTTTTAAACAATATTACAAAAAAAAAAAAACATTTTTAAAACATGTTAAAAACGTCGATTAAGTTTATTTTAAACAACTCGAAACATGTTTAAAACATGCTTTTTACCAACCCTGGTGTAATGCAAGTTACCGAATTCACTACAAGTCACAGTATCGCACGAGAAAAATTTATTTCGCAATTTCTCGTGTCGTGACGGAAGAAAGGGAAAGGAAGAGAAACGGAAAAGGAATAAAGACGGTGAGGGGGCAGAGACGAAAAAGAAGAAAAAGACGGAAGTAGGGGAGGGAACGGAGAGGGGGAGGGGGGCAGCGTCGACGTAAATAAAGGCGACCGAATCTCGTTTCGACGAACCGCTATTTTGCTCGCGAAGAGAGAGGGGGGGGGGGG